AGGGCTAGGAGCATGTTTTTAATGTTCGGTTCCGTGTTACTGAGCGAATATGATCTTACTTGGGAACGTAGAAAACATCAAGTAGTAGATGCCTGACAGATGATTTCAGCCCACATTCAGCATAACTTGATGTAGGATACAAAGCACTCACCATAAATCCTAAACAGATGGTATCAGTGAGCTGCATGATATAGAATAAAACTTACAGAGCCACGTATAAGCTGAGGATGAAACATAGAAAACTCCGGGTCAAAAGTATGACGGGTCGTTTGAGGTTGATCCATAAGTGAACCCATTTATTCATCTGGAGTGCGGTGAGGTTGGGATGTCCTTCAGGTAGCTTTTCGAGATCCGTAGCTGTTTTGTCACGACGAAGCCTGATGACTGGTGCATAGGATTCTTTTAAAAAAGCAATGCCGATCACTGCTGCGACACCACAGATCGCGGCGACGATATAGAAATCATATTGTATGCCGAGCGACTCTGCGATGAAGCCTCCTATGACAGGCCCGACAACAGGGCCTGGCGAAGTATGAACTTGCGTCAAGATAATAGACAGTGAAACGCACCTATCAAGGGTCCGACATAGCATAGCGCCATAGCGGAGGCACGTTCGCGTTCGGAGAAGAGGTCGCTAACGACACCTCCGCCACATGCGATGGGTGCACTCCCCGCAAAACCAGCTTTGCAAAGAATAAGTGAACTTGTAATAGTAGTGGTTCCATAACGTACCTAGAAATCGAAAGGCGAGGAAAGCTGAAGTGTTGGGTGCAAAAGCACAACCAAGATTAAACACGAGGAAGGAGAGGTTCGATAAGTGGAGGACCTTGGACTGATTCAGACAGACGGTTCCGCCGGTCTTAAAGAGAAAGACGCACCCACACACGACCATATACTTCAGATAAGGGTGCAGCAAATAAAGGACCGATAGCCAGTGACAGAAGGAAGATGCTGAGAGTCAACGCTGTGATTGTTGGATCGGTTATACCATATTTTATGGCCACGTCTGGCAATCCGGGTGCCATGATAGAACTTGCAAATGGAGTCACAAAAGTGTAGAGTGCAATCTGAGCCAAAATTAGGCCTCACGATTAGATATCCAATACTGATGAAAGAACTGACGATTGTAGTGGCTATCCATTTTCTCGCTGGAGACCAATTTCTGGGGTTGACGGGGTCGTCTTGCCATTCATCCTCTGACTGTTGAAGGTAATCCGGAATTTTATCATCGAGATTTTCGTCGTTAATCGCGGAGGCGCTGTGGAGCTGAGGAAGATGAGGTTCGCCTACATCATCTCGATTTGATACGCGAGTATTGGAGTTCTCAATATATACCGTTCGTGGAGGAGAGGCCGACATTGACCAGCGCTGTAGATGAGAAGAGCTTGGACGAGGGGGAGATAAGACGTGTTCCGGAACAGACTGTTGATTAAATAGGTAGTGGGTGACTGAGCAGGTATTACACAGTGACAGTGCTGTAAAATTATACTTTGATGACAAGCGCGGTAATCGGATCAGGACATTAAGCTGATCCCCGTTCTATTGCTCAAGCTAATTGTACGATTTCGTCATAACGCCGGCTGTCATCGTGGTCATGCCAGGAGCAAGCTATACGCAGTTAGCTCAGTTGTTGCAACTTGTGACATTGTTGCAATGATGAGCTTACCGTCGCGCCTCTTGCGCGCTGTCCCCGTCTCGTCGACCCTTTCGCTTGTCACCAACAGGTGCATCGTGCTAGGCAAACCTTTACAGACGAAGAAAGATAGTCGTTGCATACAAGTTGGAAACTGAAGACAACACAGCCAAACTAGTCCACGTATTTGAATTTCGAAATCAATACTTTATAAACAAATAGGCGTCCTTCTGACCGCTGCGCTCGCTGGACGCCGCCGGTGGCTTCAAACTCCGCGACAGGTGATCTATTACCATATACAGACATTGCCGTCTCGTTTAATTATATAGGTGGCCGACATCCTGCGCTTCCGAGACCGGCGGAACTCACAACTATAATTAGACTTCAGAAATGAGCGATGTTCAGGTTCTAGTACATAGAAGCGAACGTTCTTGCCTTTCAGTGCGTACTCTATCGAGACTAGCATAGGAGTGACTAGACCGATACTAGTAGCATCTCGCCGCGCACGCCATGGATCCTTCATCAGGCTACTCCGTCCAGGCCAAAATGGTACACTTCTACTCCCTCCACCCTGCTCAACCCAAACCGGGGGCACTTGTTAGCGTCCGACGTCCAGCATTGAACAGACTCGTGGAGGCGGCGCTCCCACTAATTCCCCGCTACACACCAAACCCATGGTAGGGTGCCTCCCTGTCCTTCACCTGTCAACTTTTCAACCTCCGAGTGGGATTTAGTGAAAACAATGATCAACAAGTGCCTACACTTCCATTGTCACAGGGAGTACAACATATTTGTTCCGGTCATCGTATGAACACCAGAGGAAAAACTGTCGCATGCTAGATCCAACTCATTGAGACTCCATGCGACGAGCTCACCCAACGACACTGTATGGTATCTCGAGATCATCCTAACAGTCTCGAGGACAACCAGGAACATCTGTAAATGGAGGTACTCGCCTTTTTCTAGAACCTACCAGTGGATCGCGTTAATATTTTCTTCTCTTGTCCAGGATGCAGCATTTGCGTGGGCAGAGTTTTTGTCAAATCGAGGTGAGCTTACTCGTGCAGATGACTTCGGCTCTTTGAACCTCTTGTGACCGGGGAAGCAGACTTATTCATGGAGATGCCACGCCCAGACCCGGCGGGCACTGAAGGGTGAACCGGATGCAATGTTGACACTGCAACCGGATTGGTTGAACCCCCGGGCCCCAGGACCCAAGCCACTACTAGGTCCCGACCTGAATACCACCCCCTGAAGACGGCGCGATGTCAGCGGCGGGCCAGAAGATTTACCTCATTATCTCACGCCCGAGCTTACTAAAGCTATGAGAGTATTAAGCTGACGTGGGCCGGGTTGCCTAAGCCATGGTGCGGGCCGGTGCAACCGACTGGAGAGATACTGAGGAGGCAACATGGTAGAGAGAAGTCAAGCCGCTGAGAGAGCCTCGGCAAATGTGGTCAAGAAACGCGGCTTCAAGAGGCTCAGGACACAGGTTCTATCCACTGTGCTGTTCACGCCGCGAGCAACGTCTGCGAAGGTCAGTAACTGAATGGTGTGATTCTCTGGCATGTTCGCGGTGTCTTTAAATCGTGGACATTGGTGTACGTTGGACGTTTCCCTCAAAACCTGGGCGCGTTCGAGGTCGGTTAGGAGACAGGTAAGAAGGTGGTGAAAACAAGGCATACCTGTGGCGTTCGGTGAGAGCTCACTCTCGATGGCACTGGAAATCAAGGCAAAGTTAGTTGCCAAAGAATAGAGAGTATCAAGCTTAGCTTAAAGAGCAAGAACCACGTGTGTCGTCGGGCGGGTAAGATGAAAGCAGTGCTAGTGGCGAAAACACGAGTGTCAGTATGATGCCATGTAACTCTGAGTCTGAGTTGCAAGCCACATACTTTGCTCAAACATCGGCAATGATGTAGTCATAAAATTAAGCACTGTGAGTGTGATAGAGAAGAGAGCGCACGAAGGGCTGAAGGACTGAGTGTGTATATAGTACGACAGCGTGATGGGGTCGCAGTTGATATCATCGATTATCGACTGAATTCACCACCATGGAATTGTTTCGAAGGTAAGTAGGAGGTGTCATATGCGTGCTGCTGGCGTCACTGAAGAGTCGCTATGATGACTCGAGAGAGAGCAATGTTTCCACCGCGTGAAGCACACGTCAAGGGCCAAGGCATTGATTGTTCTGAGCCTTGCAGACTTTAGTAGCCGTAGTATATATATCGATGCAGAGTGACAAGCGGATGAATGAAAATTGTTCGACGCGTCGATATCAGTCACGTGATGTAACCCTTCTGATCCTAACAACGTTAAACACACACCAATCGTCCAAAAGCCAAGTTCGACCAGTACCGTATATAGTACTGGTCACATTTTACAAAATTGTGAACAGGCCCTTCGCAAGGCAGGACCTCGATGATGTCCCAGGTTTGCTTTACAACCGAATATCATTCATATTAAATATTGTGTTAGAGAACATCCGATATATATACCCAACGATGATACACTTGAGTGTCACAGCCAAGGAGGCTAGTTTCAGCCTCTCCCGATCCGGAGCAGAGATTCGTCAGCAAGATTCCACAGAGAGCATAACCCCCCCACTTTTGTAGGCGGTATTATCCTATCCTCTTGCGTTTGCGCCCGCATCCAACTCACCGAAGAATCTACCAATGTACAGATTTGATGCTATAAAGGCACAAATGGTGCGAAGGGGTTGTTTCGAAGCGCAGAACCAACCAGTAAATGAAGATGTGGGCCGAGGGCAGACAGAGGGATTCTGTCTTGGACGCGCACCCGATCGCGGCGAACCTTGCCCAAGAGCGACGCAGATGTCGTTGTAAATTGTGGCATGACCGAAAGAAATCGTTCTGGTAAAATCGTACATATACTACTCACTGATGCGAAGTGACGCGCTGGAAAAACCATGGCAGACTAAGGAACAGTCTTGAGCAGTATCAATGCATACTTCTTGCCTCCCGTCGCCCGTCTCGGAGGCTTTGCATCCGTTTTCGTTCAATGGATGATGCATCTTGCCTATAAGGACAGTCTCATGAGAGTTGTATGGCATAGGCTATGGAATCGGATGTCATCCACGCTTACGGTCTGCTGGCAGGTCCTGCATGTCCTTCCCAACTACAGAAACCTTCGAGATCGTTGCCTGGAGCCCTTCAATGAATACAGTCGCGTCTTGATGCGGCAGGAATTGTTCCACAAACGTATATATACAAATACAAGGACTAGGGCGCCGCCAGCGCGAGTTCTTTGACAAGACGCGGACTTTGATTCAGGGCCGGGAAGATGGTGGCACGTCCAACTCGACTCTGCCTGCGATATTTCATGATATGGAAACGAAGCAAATATCTATCTAAGGCGTGTCCCTAAAGCCCATCAAGTACTGCATAATCTGGAAGGCGGCCTAAAATCATCGGTTCCTGTGTTAGGCCGCACTTGCACATCAGCATTGCCGACTTACCACTGGCGCAAACTGCGGAATCCTACGGGAGACATCAGAAACGAGACTCTGTGAATTGCGGCGAACTCACATGTGTCCACTCAAGGCTACTTCGTAATATGTGAGTCCCCGCTCCGAGTGTGTTGTGCCATAGGCACCCACACCATCGACAATGAAGCTGTCGTTAGCGATAGGCGTCTGGAATCCTTGCAAACCATTCCCTTAGAATATAATGAGTGATTAGTAGCGTGTATCAAACATTATGAGTCACGCACAGGTCATGCTACAGATGAATCCCATCAATGAAAGCGATACAGTCACACTCAAGAACACACTTACTTTTGGATGGCAATTCTGGTTCTAAATTATCGGACCGTGTGTCAGAATATACGAAGATCAAGGGTCGAAAGTGAAGTCATACCCATCAGCAATGAGAATGAAGTCGGCGAGGCCGTGCACAATGACGGTCCGCTGGTTCTTCTCTATAACATTCGGTAACACAGTGAAGGCAGGAGGCAAGCTGCTGTCTCCGTTGGGGAAGACATTGATATTAGAGCATTCCGACCACTGTGTCTCAACGGGCGCGTGGATAGCTTCCTTGACATCTATTCGGTTAAAGTAGATCGGAGACTGCGTCTGTGGGAACGACCCTCTAGGTCTTCGTCAGCCGGATTGCATTCAGTCAGTGGTTGAATAGCCTACGGGAAACCTAAGACATCCCATAGAATCGGATACTTGCGTGGAGAAGAAGTCAATATAGTACTCATTAGAATCCTCTTCGACTCACAGTATCCCAGATGCGATAGACATCGAAAGCAGGGTTGATAATCAATGCATTATAGAAAATGTCGTCCCAGACATCGCAGCCCTCGGCAAACTCGATAGAGTCTCCAGGCAGGGGAAGGAGACCTGTTGGAGGGTATGTGACGTACTTATCCATGTAGCCAGTGTAATTGCACGTCGCGGCCTTCTCGTTGAGGTAGTCCATGTACGTTTGACTGAATATCAATCGGTGAGTGACCTGCAAACTAGATCCGAGTGAGATGAACACACTTGAAAGAAAAGAGACCAGCGTATTTGTTCACGAAGTCGACTGCAGGGATCTCCTCTTGCACCACATCCCACGATATTGAAGCTGAGGAGTTTCATGTATAAGCACTTGGGAAGAGACAGAGCAAGTCAAAATGTTACTTACGATCACTGATCCATATTCCCTGCAACGAGAGGTCCAATTGAGTGGAATTCTCGTAGATATAGTTGGCGATATCTTCATTGGTCTTTAAGTCACGTTCAAAGAAAATGACTTCTGACTCACAAGGCACGTATGTTCCAGCATACTGAATACAGTCAATACGACGTTTACCAGACTCTCTGAGAACTTACGCTTTCACCCGTTAGATACAGCTTTTTGCCTTTGAGCTCCGAAAAGACCTCAAGGAATTGCTGTAAGAAGCCGACGAGTTGAGCAGCAACATCGTCCTCGTTCTGTGCGTCTGGGATGCCCTGGGAAAATCCCGTTCCAACAGGTTGCTCAACCCAAAGGACGGAGGACAGGTTGGTCCAGCTCTGTTGATTCGCCGTTGGTTTGGCCTGACCCCAAGACCAACTGAAAGGCTTCAAACATTTCAGTTATAGATGAGTCTTGTCGTCAACAAAGAGGCTTACCCCATTCTCTTGCAGCAAACCTTCGAGGGAGGAGCAACCAGGGCCACCATTTGTCCTTCAGGTATAAGATGCCTGGTCAGCAACGAACATCACAGCACTTCTGATGACGCACCAAAAGATTAGATCATCAAGACTCCCTTCGGGGCCGGGAGGAAAAAACCAGAAATAGAGCTGATGTTCTTAATGTCAGCAAAGGACGTGCATAGGCTACCCATGTACTCACCTGACGAGTCTCATTAGTGCTGTTGCTGATAGGTAGAAGACCTGCCCAGCTAGGACCGACGTCGAAGTCAACGAGAGGAAGGGACGTGCCATCGACATAAAACTCTGGACGAAGATAAATCAGACTTATTAGATGTCTACATATAGCACTTCATTCACCTGAGGCCTTTGGGTTCGTGAATGTAATATTCTGAACACCACTGCGCTTTACGCTCCGACTTTGAGAGCCGCTAGTCTGCCAACGCTTTGCTGCCTCCAGTTGGTGTTCGCCAATCTCGCGCTTGGTCTTATGAGCGCTAGCGGCGACCACTGCGAGCAGAGCCGCAGATATGGCGAGAAGACGCATCACCGTCAAACAAGCGAACTTGAGTTTGTGAGGGGGAAATAGGGAGTCGTCTGGTATTGTGCATGGGGCTTTTATTTAAGATATGGGTATTTCTGAGTACTGGTGGGAACGTACAATTAAATCATTGAGTACACATGCATATCGAGTGATGATCATGGCGGCACCATGTGTTCTTCGGTCGCGCACTGGCAGCTATTCGTGGCCCGGGTCGGATCAATTTGGCTGGATTAATCGTGATTAGCACATGTGTACGTCCTTGGTGGCTGTTGTTCAAGACGAGTCAAGTTGGGATATTGGGCAACCCATGCATGAGTTGCTGTGCTCAACCTGCGAGTGCTCCGAGTCACTGCTGGTTGTTCGTTTCTCAAAATTTTCACGAGTTGCAGACGCAGTGTGAATGTATCCGTTGATTTTCCCGCATTGCTCGGTGGCAGATCGATCTGTCAATTAGGTGAAGTGATGGCGCATGTACAAGTTCGTGAATATCGGGATTCTGGCCGGCCTTAGTATTGCAAGTGTCTGGGTAGTGTACCCTCGCGGCAGGCTCGGCAACATTGTTACAAGGTGTGCTCAATTCTAAAACATCGAAGTCGTTTCATTTGACGTTATTTTTGTAGTAAACAGTTTCATTTCGGCTCCGTACATTAGTTCCGAGGCCGGAAAAAGGACCTGTCTCCCGGTCAAACATGTTAAGTCGGCAATGAACTACCATGCTGACAGTGACAGACAACACATTCCCTGCCGGTTCCAGAACCAAGTCCAGCATCAACAACACAATACGCCATACGATCACATAACACAGTCGGCATCAGCAACAGCGACACGGAGAAACCTATGGGAACACTTACTGATATAATGCTAATCAGTAGGACAAGTTTAGAGCAATGGCCGGCCTCTGGCCCCCGTGAATATCGTAACAACTGGCAACAAGCGTCGGCAATCAGTGTTGTTCCTGTATTTGGAGATGAAACGAATTGAACTTTTTACGTAGTAGTTTGCTGATGCTATGCTAATTGTTTCATGTCCTTACACACACGACCTCAGCTTACCTCACTAAAGCACACCCACTTCAAGTGCTCATAGCCTTAGTCTTTACGCAGTGCTAGTATCTAGCTAAGGTGTATCCCTAAAGCCCATCAGGTACTGCATAATCTGGAAGGCAGGCTGAAATCATTGGTTCCTGCATTAGGACGTACATGCACGTCAGCATTGTCGACTCACCACTGGCGCAAACTGTGGAATCCTACGGAAGACATTGGAAATGAGACCCTGCGTAATGCAGTGAACTCACATATGGCCACTCAAGGCTACTTCATAATAAGTGAGTCCTCGCTCCGAGTGCATAGTGCCATAGGCACCCACACCATCGACAATGAAGCTGTCATTAGCGATAGGCGTCTGGAATCCTTGCAAACCATTCCCTTAGAATATAATGAGTGATTAGTAGCGTGCGTCAAACATCACGAGTCACGCACACGTCATGCTACAGTTGATTCCTAATGATGAAAGTAATACAGTTATAGTCAAGAACGCACTTACTTTTGAATGGCGATTCTGGTTCTAAATCATCAAACCGTGCGTCAGGATCAAGGGTCAAAAACGAAGACATACCCATCAGCGATGAGAGCGAAGTCGGCGAGACCGTGCACGGTGGCGGTCCGCTGGCTCTTCTTGATAACATTCGGTAACACAGTAAAGGCAGGAGGCAAGCTGCTGTCTTCGTTGGGGAAGACATTGGTAGAGCATTCAATCCATTTGGTATTCACGGGCGCGTGGATAGCTTCCTTGACATCCGTTCTATTAAAGTAGATCGGAGTCTGCGTCTGTGGGAATGACCCTCTAAGTCTGCGTCAGCCGAATTGCATTGAGTCAATGACCGAATGGCCTACGGGAAACCTAAGGCATCCCATAAAATCGGATACTTACGTGAAGAAGTTAATATAGTACTTATTAACATCCATTTCGACTAACAGTGTCCCAGATGCGAAAAATATTGAAAGCGGGGTTGATAATCAATGCATTATTGAAAATGTCGTCCCTGACATCGCAGCCCTCGGCAAACTCGACAGAGTCTCTTGGCAGGGGAAGGAGACCTGTTGGAGGGTATGTGACGTACTTATCCATGTAGCCAGTGTAATTGCACGTCGCGGCCTTCTCGTTGAGGTAGTCCATGTACGTTTGACTAAACATCAATCTGTGAGTGACCTGCAAATTAGATCCGAGTGCAATGAACAAACTTGAAAGAAAAGAGACCAGCGTATTTGTTCACGAAGTCGACTGCAGGGATCTCCTCTTGCACCACATCCCACGATATTGAAGCTGAGGAGTTTCATGTATAAGCACTTGGGAAGAGACAGAGCAAGTCAAAATGTTACTTACGATCACTGATCCATATTCCCTGCAACGAGAGGTCCAATTGAGTGGGATTCTCGTAGATATAGTTGGCGATATCTTCATTGGTCTTTAAGTCACGTTCAAAGAAAATGACTTCTGACTCACAAGGCACGTATGCTCCAGCATACTGAATACAGTCAATACGACGTTTACAGGACTCTCTGAGAACTTACACTTTCACCCGTTAGATATAGCTTTTTGCCTTTGAGCTCCGAAAAGACCTCAAGGAACTGCTGCAAGAAGCTGACGAGTTGAGTAGCAACATCGTCCTCGTTTTGCGCGTCTGGGATGCCTTGGGAAAATCCCGTTCCAACAGGTTGCTCCACCCAAAGGACAGAGGACAGGTTGGTCCAGCTCTGTTGATTCGCCGTTGGTTTGGCCTGACCCCAAGACCAACTGAAAGGCTTCAAACATTTCAGTTATAAATGAGTCTTGTCGTCAACAAAGAGGCTTACCCCATTCTCTTGCAGCAAACCTTCGAGGGAGGAGCAGCCAGGGCCACCGTTTGTCCTTCAGGTATCAGATATTATCTCAACACAAATGTCAGTGTATACCAACGCACCAAAAGATTAAATCATCAAGACTCCCTTCGGGGCCGGGAGGAAAAAACCAGAAATAGAGCTGATGTCCTTAATGTCAGCAAAGGACATGCATGGCTACCGATGTACACACCTGACGAGTCTCATTAGGGCTGTTGCTGATGGGCAGAAGACCTGCCCAGCTAGGACCGACGTCGAAGTCAACGAGAGGAAGGGATGTGCCATCGACATAGAATTCTAGACGAAGATAGATCAGACTTATTAGATGTCTACTTGTAGCACTTCATTCACCTGAGGCCTTTGGGTTCGTGAATGTAATATTCTGAACACCACTGTGCTTTACGCTCCGACTTTGAGAGCCACTAGTCTGCCAACGCTTTGCTGCCTCCAGTTGGTGTTCGCCAATCTCGTGCATGGTTATCCTACGAGCGTTAGCGGCGACCACGAGCAGAGCTGTAAATACGGCGAGAAGATGCATCACCGTCGAACAAGCGAACTTGAATTTGTGAGGGGGAAATAGGGAGTCGTCTGGTATCGTACATGGGACGTTTATTTAGAATATCAGTATTTCTTCTGTACTAATGGGAAGGCAAAGTCGAATAATCAAACACGTATGCATACTGAGGGATAATCATGGCGGCCCATCATGATTCTGGCAGTTAATGTCGGGGGCTTGGGGTCAGTGTTCATCCCCGTGAGTCTGGAGTTCTGCCAAGTTTTGCCACCTCCCTTCGCGTGAGAAGTTCTGCCGTGGACAAGGCACAACCAGTTTCGCCAACACTAAAATTCATATTCTTCAAGCAGCCATACGTGATACGTGGCCCATCAGATAAGCAACTTCAATGGCCGATTAATTGTTATCAGTACACGTATACCTGATTTCTTTACTCACGGTACTTGCTGGGTCAACCTGGTTGCTGTGTCACGATTGGCCGTGGAGACTTATCCAGGTTCGCTCCTATTGTTTCCAAGGGCAAGAAATTTGTCTGACTCCACTGCTGGAATAGCAGTCGAGGTAATGCGCACATCGGAGTGAGGGAAGGTACACAGCGCCCGACAGGATCCGTCAATGAGCAATTATTTTTTTCGGCTCCGAGAAGCATCACAGCTGCAGACCGGTAGTGATGCATTCATAAACCACTCGTCGAGGTTCCATAATCACGTTGTATTGTCGTATGACGTGCTTGCTAGGATGCAACCATTCGGAGATGTTGGAATGGCCAAGACTTGGTCGGTGTGCCCTTCCAGGGTGCGACCTGTTGCCCTGCATGTTGTGGCATCCATATTCTAATAAAGCGAGCAACTGACCCGGAGACAATGGGGTTTTTCATCCGTACGTGGTCCAATTATGAAACGCACCTGCCATCTCCGGGTCGCCCCTGCTCAACACCCATCCGGTGTGCAAGATTTACAACATCACCACGCGTGAATCTTGCAGTCTGCACTCGCATCGCCTGCCCGTGTATATGTGGCTGGTGTGTATCAGAACGAATATTCCCGTTGGCTCCAGATGCGTTGAACTTCGGACGTGGTGGCATTGCTCAGAAAGGGAAGGCTTTGTTTCTTTCGATGCTTAGCTAACATATCGTAGGGTGGGAATACATGATAAAACATTGAATAGGAGAGCATGGACGCTGGTCACCTAAACAGGTGCGATGATCATGTTGTGGGTATTTTGATTTTTATACGGCCACATTGATACTCTAAATAAGTAGCCTGAACTTAAGGAGTCACTATAGAGCGATCATTGTTCACGATGAGTGTTATCCCCAGCCGACTGTTCAATCGCTTGCATACCTGAATATAAATTTACTACCTTGCGCATGAACCAGCGAATACAACCACAACTCTATTTTGAACCTCACTTATAGGACGGCGTCTGCGATTGATCGAACAGCTCCATCGATGCATCCTTTGTGAGAGTGAAGATCCTGGCAGGTCAGAGCGCTAAGTACTTACTTGGAGTTTGAAATGCAATTGGAAAATTTGAACAGCGGAGCGGTGCAGACTAAGATCAAGAGCCAGCTATACGAGTTCTAAAATGGAATTCAGCGTTGCATACGGAAGTCAGAAAAAGATCAACATACTGTTAGGATCTTTAAACAACCGAAGTCGAGGCAAGAATCAGCGATAAAGCTAGCATGTACAGAACTTCAGCAGGAGAAGAGAACCACAGTCACATTACGCAGCTGATGGGCAAAGGAATGTTCAGAGCGCGCGGGATCGGGAGGATGCGGAACTCAGTCAATTGGAAATGAAGTCTCTAAAACAAAGTTCAAATGGTAAATGACCGGCACAAGCCATGTGAGTAGCTGAAGATCACTGCATCCGTATACATAGTGTTAGGACATATTCGCTATGACAGTGTGAATGGGATTGAGCAAATGATTATATGAAATTAGTGGATCTCGTGGAAGAATGGAATCCCTTATAATTAAAATACTGGCGCTGCCTCGTGGATCCCATGCTTGCGGTGCATGCAAGACTCACCTTCGTTGTTGGCTGGCTACCCTTGAAGAACCAGCAGAACAACCAGTAAGTACTGTGCAACTGTTCCCGTAATTTTCAATCACGAACAGTGTCAGAACCAGAATAAACCATACAGGCAGCTTACGGTAACGAACTATGCCTCCACTTGCGATTCAGATGCCGACCATTGAGGAAAATACGTCTTCTGTGTCTGAACCCCCTGCAATGCCGGTCACTGAGGAAACTCAACCCACAGCGCAACCCGAGAAACCAACTCCAAAGTACCAATTCAAGGGCCACGAAAATCAAATTTTGGATTTCGTCTTCTTGCACGACAACGTCCACATCGTGAGTGGATCGTTGGACGGCAGGATGCGCAAGTGGAACTGTGACACAGGGCTTCTCGTTGGGAAACCTTGGTCAGGCGAGGGCGGAATAATACATGCACTGGCTCTTTCACCGGATGGGAAGACAATTGCATGCGGGAGGGACGACGGAAGCGTTCAGCGGTGGAACACCGAAGGAGAGATGATTGAAGGCATTTGGACAGGTCATAAGGAGTTGGTACGGTCACTGTCGTGGTCTCCTGATGGAAACCATATTGCAAGCGGATCCGACGATGGAACAATCCTAATTCGAAAAGTACTTGAAAGCGGAGAAATCGAGGTAGGTCCGATCGAAACGGAGCAGGATGGTGTGCTTGCACTTGCATATTCACCTTCAGGCGACAAAATCGCATCAGGCGGGAAGAACCAGACAATTTGCATTTGGGACTCGAAGACAGGCGAGCTCGTCGTTAAGCCCATCGGAAACCTTGGGCACTATGTGTGGTCAGTGGTGTGGTCGTTGGACGGCACCAAGTTGTATGCCGCCTTGGGACATTTCGCACGCGCTTTCGACAGTAGTTCAGGCACAGAACTTTGTAGCTTCGAGCACGCTCATCCGCTGATTTCCGTTGCGCTTTCACCCAAACACAACGTGCTGGCATGCGTGGGCATAGGAAGTATTGCACGACTGTGGGATACAAAGTCCCGTCAGCCACTCGGTCAGCCATTTAATCAAGAGGACGGAATCGCTTTGTGCGTGGCATTCTCTCCAGATGGCAAATATGTAGCATATGGAGGGACGAACAACACAGTCACTTTGTGGGTGGTAAAAGAGATAGCTCCAGAGATTACAGTACGTGCTTTTACAACCATACTTCTAAGTAACAAGCTACACAGCAGGAAACTCGTCTCTAGTCCCCACCGCCGTCTTGCCTGGGAGTCAGTACTCTTGCATTCGACTACCTTCATTCTCTTGCTCATAGAAATGCCACAGGTCGACGCTACAAATCATTTTGTACAATCAGAGAGTAATGACCATGGCAATTTTTTTCAGGTAAGCCTCGTGTTTCGTCAAACAGACGGTACAAGTATTGATGATGAGCATTCGAAGTCTTATCTTCCTTCGGCACTACCTGGCCCATCTCATCGTTCCCAGAATACTCAATCATCCTCCGCTCGCCGCTTTTGGAACATCCTCATCCCCTTTCGACACGGTCCGACAGCAAGTGAGTCCATTGCGCTGCAGCAACACCCCAAACGCAGTTTCTTTGGGGGCCGCTCGGGATCACAGCCTGTAACAGTCTCCGCCGCACATAAAATCAAGGTAAGCAGTGTACTAGTTGTCCCTCGGTTTGTTGCACTTATATGTGACTGATTTTTTAGAGGCGCTGGATAGCGCGTCCTCCTGTGGAGACTAATGCTCAGGCCGGTCTGTCGTCCTCAACGATAACACACCCTGCAGCGCAGCCAAACTCGACGCCCCAGCTTCTTGAGGCACAGGCGACAGCACAGCAACTTTCTCAGCAAGCTCATGGTTGTTGGGGAAAATTTTGCCTCGCACTCGGGTGCATCCCACGCCGCCCTCTTCCTGTTGTCTCCGCTGCTCAGCCTTCTACCTCGTAATATCACATTACCAAGTGTTTCATTTTTTCCTACATATCAGTCTCGTTAACTCCACTAATATTCATTTTTTTCTTCGTTTTTAATCACCTCTCATTCTCTGCATACCTCAGATTTCTTACTATCGCTCGCATGCTGCATGCGTCCCCGGTTGATGATCAATGGTATATGCTCCACTCGTACATTCTGAAGTACTTATTATTATAAATGATTTGACAAGGGCTTGTAAATTTATATTTACAGTAGTGGTCCCCATTGCATCATTGCCTGAACCTATTAGAAATTCACGCAACGCGCATGGTGACGACAAATCGTGATATCGAGAGGACTTGTGCGATTCCAGAGCATGATCAACTACCCGCACGTGACTAAGGCGCTCTAGAAATCGATTTCAATTTTAAATTTGAATCCACATAGTACTGAACTGGCACTTTCGCTACGTAGTACGTACGTAGCGATTTACAACGTGTGTGCACCTTCTTGCGCCATCATCGATATCAAATACCCTTTTATTTTCTATTAAGACTTCCAACGATATCATGTGTTCATAGTTCCCACTCTATCCACAGGAATGACCACTGCCTGGTGGCCGCGATTAAGCAAGCAGCAAAAAAAGCACCAGGATGACCATGCTTTCGAGTCACAGCCCGGTGAAAAGTATCAGGGGATTCACAAGCTATCCAACGACGATGCCGACCTGAGTCCTGAAGAATTGACCTTTGAAGAAGGTGCGACTTCTCGCTATTCCTTCAACCAAGTTACTCTCTGACATCATCCAGATACTGCGGGAGGCATGGGTCGTCACCTTGGTGTAATGTCTTGCACTCTCCTTATCGTTGGAAATGTTATCGGCACCGGTATATTCTCAACTCCATCTTCCATCCTCTCCAGTGTGGACTCAGTCGGTGCTTCTCTCATACTTTGGGTCCTCGGTTTCTTACTTAGCTTCTGTGGACTCTTTTTATGGCTTGAGTTCGGCACCATGTTTCCTCGAAGTGGCGGAGAGAAGGTATACCTCGAGGCCGTCTACAGAAAGCCCAAGTACCTCGCCACAATAGTATTTTCTGCCAATGCTATATTACTTGGATTCACTGCGAGCAATTGTATTGTCAGTCATGTCTTTTTTGTGTGAGTATTTGGTATTGAAACTTAATTGCTCCGTCAAGGTTTTTGCCAGCAAGTATGTATTTTGGATCTTGATGAAACGACTCGACTGATGTGATATAGCATCTTAGTTGCTGCTGGTCGACCCGCAAGTCGCTGGAATGAGCGTGGAATTGCACTTGGAGGTGTGTCTTCTACCCAACTGGCATGTCGCGGTCATCCAATGGCCTCTAGTCATATTCTTCGTAACTCTTCTACACGGATTGATCCCTAAGACCGGGGTACTGATCATGAACGTATGCAAGCTTTCGTTTTTATACTGTCATCATATCTGACATCTTCTTTTCAGTTGCTCTCGATGTTCAAGATCATAATTCTGGTGTTCGTTGTGATCACAGGCTGGGTAGTTCTCTCTGGAAAAACCCACGTCACGGATCCGTACTATAATTTCAGAAACGCATTTGCGGGGAGCTCCACGAGTAGCAACGACGTGCGTTCAATGATATTCCTAGATGCCCATATGCTGATCATGGTCTTCACAGTATGCCACCGCCACATTTAAAGTTTTGTACGCATATTCGGGATGGTCCAATGTGAACTACGTGATGAACGACGTCCGCAATCCAGTGAGGACGCTCAAGATCGCAGGCCCGCTCGGTCTTGGTATATGTACCGTTTTGTACTTACTTGCAAATGTGGCATATTTCTCGGCTGCAACCAAGGTCAGAACTTCTTTGTTATCTCCATCACGAACGAAATACTGAATAGTATCGATAGACGGAGATTGATGAGTCTGGCGCTACTGTCGCTGCCTTTTTTTTCGGGAATGTCTTTGGTTCTGTTGCGAAGCGTGCGCTATCGGTCTTCATTGCCCTCAGGTGAGCTCGACGTCCTGAGTTTAAGGGTTCCTTGACTCATTGCCTTCATGACAGTGCTATTGGAGTGAGTCCTATGTATTTCGTATCATGATCTCTGTTTGATGATGGGACATAGAATGTTATCACTGCGGTAAGTCGAAGGATACTATGGAAATGTGTAGCTCAAGAACTTTTTATCTAGACTTTTTCTGCGTCGCGAGTAAACCAAGGTTCGTCATACCAAGCATCGTAATTCTACCTGGCTTATGCTTGAATTACAGAGCTCGCAAAGGAAGGGATACCCTTTCCATTCGGAAACAAATTCTGGGCTTCAAATTGGCCCACTGGGAAGTCCCCACTTCCGGGATTGATAATCCATTTGATACCCTCCGTAAGCGCTACCCTAGAACCATAATATCGATCTGAGATTGATTTTCTAGGTTATCGTTATCATCGGGCCTCCCCCAAACATTGCTTACCCCTTCATTTTGGACATTCAAGAATATCCAAAGCAAATTATCAATTTCTTTGTTGTTATCGTACGTCTTTGAACTTTTTTCTCGAGTGTTTCTTATCTCTTGATGCCGCTAGGCTTTGTTCTACCTAAGATGGAAGAAGCCAGATGCTGTTCGGCCATTCAAAGGTGAGAAAATATGTCACTCTTCCTGTATGGTACATCAATGCATATGATGTAGTATGGTGGCCTCTCGCTGTATTCTTCTTAGCTGCTGCTTCCTTCCGTGAGTTACCAATCTACAACTTGAACACTTTCTTTCCCTAACCAAACCTCCACTCAGTCCTCATCGCTCCCTTCCTGAAACCATCCAATGGCGTTGGCGACACCCCACCACTGCCATATTACCTGTACGCTTCTCCCAGAAATTATTATCCACACGTCCCTTATTCTCATTCCTCGCCTGTCGTATAGGTACTGTCTCGTAGGAATCGCCGTAATGTTCGTAGGCGTGCTGTACTGGGCTGCATGGCGAATCATGCTGCCTAAGGTATTTGGCTATGAGCTTGTACCGAGGAAGGAGAGGTTAGACGATGGGACTTTTGTCACTGTAGTGAGCGTTGTCTTTTTATTCTGTGTCTCCTGGTTTGGCTCACGGATCTTATTTTCAAGTTTTCGAGTAAAAAGATGCAGTGATTTGGAGGTTGATTGGAAGTGCTGGTAAGTTGGTCTTTGTATTAATTTAGTGTGATATTGTTGTAGTGGTGATCATGTACTTGTTTATCATTCATGTATGCAGGTATAGTACTACTAGAGTGTAGAACGGACCCTCGGTCAGCTCTACTTTCTGGTCTGTGCCGCCTGAAGTTCTTGCCAACACCTGCGTTTTGAATCTGACCAGTCAGTAATCCCGTTGGAATTCTGGTCTCTCGTGACGTTTTCTGCTTGAATCGATGGATGCAACAATGTTGTTAATAGTGAAAGTGATAATTGGAGTACAAGCCTACGCGGTGGAGTACGTGTTCGAATCATGATATGCCAGCGCACCACACCACCTACATATGAAAGAAAGATGGAACATATCTAACACAGGGTCACCGACCCCAAGGACTGCAAAAAAAGTTTACGCGGTCTTGAGATGCTGCACACCCCGAAGCTCTCTACTAAATGCGTAGCACCAGCGCACGATGCAAAGGACTGTCAACAAGCACAGCAACGCAACAAGAGCGATGCAACCTTGCAGTAGGTAATGCATGTCTAGCGCTAGCGCATTCGTTGTCGCAGTCAAATTTTCCACGAGCAGCGCCAAAGTTGCACCAACATCGGAGGAGAGCGTGTCGGTTTTCTGCGTGAGGCGCTCGACAACGATGGTCAGGTCTTCTACGAACAGCGTAAAAGACGCGAGGGTTGTAGTCATGTCTGAGGAAAGGGTCTCTGTCGTCTGCGCGAGGCGCTCGACAGTAGTGATTAGAGAGTTTACGAGGTGCTTCCCGCCCAAGCTGTCTATCACTTGTTGGGCAATTTCAGCATTGAAGACATCGATGATTGCCATTGATTGAGTGTGTTGGTGAACTGGTGGAGGCTAGGACATCAGCATGAATTGTAGTGAAAACTGCATCACTTGCTCAGTGTGGGGGCCAATTGTGGATTGATGGATCCAAGTAATTCGAACGCGGCTGGTGGGAGTCAGGAACGTCATTTCTACAGGTTGAAGCCATGCACTTACACTCATGGCCTATGCACCGCCCCTCAGCGCTCAGCGCTCAGCCTTGACTTGAGTGTGCGCTTGAATCCATATGCTTTTTGCCTGACTGGGATCAACGGCACGTGCCTACACGTGTACCAGTAGCATTATAACCCCACGGCATTCGAGATGCGCTCGCTAATGGATGACTTTCCGTAGGCTGAAATATTCTGATTAGAATATCATATCATATATAAACCTATATTAGGCAGGTGTGCCGCGATGCCGCTGTTCATTTCCAGTCAGTTCGTAACCATGTGTCATCTACCCCCCCCCAATAAACCTTAATTCTATTGGGGGGGGGTACCCCCCCCCCAATAGACTTTAGCGACGACTTGCTTCCGTTTTGGGCCACTAACGCCAGCAATATCCGCTGACATAACCAGCCTTGCTCGAGATGCATGGCACGCAATGCGGCACCTTGCGCAGTAATATTGAGGTACCTCCCAACCCTTCGCCAAGTATGCTAATGTCTCTCTCTCCTGCCACTATCTAGGTGATACCAAGTGCCCACTACGACATGCTTGGTCCTCCGTGCCAGCGTTGATCTATCCGTGGATTTCCATGTGCAGAGACATCATGACGAGGAATTGGCGTTTCATACCAGGCTTGCGCAAATCCTGCAGTAAGTAGTGAAGAGAAAGTGGATACATCAACGCCCATTGTAGTGATGAATGCTCTATCATTTTGGCTAACGTATAGTACCTGCCATGGAGTGTTGATGCGAGGATTTGGAAGCAGTTGGGGTCGGCAGAGGTATAAACGATGTGGGTGCCGAGTGTCAACACGCTCTTGTCGTGACATCTCGGTCCCAGCAATGATAGCAGCAGCGAGGACCTGAAATCTTTCATCGTCGTCGAAAAGGTTAGCCTCGTTTTCGTCAAGAAGCAGCCGCTGGATTGTAAGGCGATTGTCCATCAAGGACTGGACTAAATTCAATTGAACGAGCGCACGGCAGATTATTCCAGTATAGATTATCATATCATCGGTATTCGTAATATTTTTGAGACTCCGGTATATTCTGTTCTGGATTATTTTGCCTACGGAAAGTCATCCAATACCCTCGGCGTTAACAACAACAACAACAACAACAATTGAATTGGTGCCTGAGAAATTGATAGTCACATCGTCACATCAGGAGTGAGTTGGACTCCATCCTGTACATGCAGAACGCTGGCTTCCATGTACACGAGACACTGATATTAATACTAACAACACGCACATGACAGGGGAGATTGCGACTGATCAGGTGCTCAGCGTGTTGGACACATATATATACTGAGTCCTTCCCATCATGATATCACACCAAGTAGTCCCACAATGCAGCCCACTAAACAAACACTCCCAATCGGCGGTCTCCTCGTCGACGTTTACTCCCACCCAACCACAACCCCCAGCTCTACAAACCCCATCCACGCACTCTTCTTTCTGCATGGCCGCTTCGACAACGCACAAGATCAATATATAGTCGATACCATTAAAGTCATTTTTGATGAGAGTTATGGATCGGGTGCGGGAGAGAGGAAGAAAGATCTTATCGTCATTGCTTTTGTGAGTCACTTTTTTCTTCGTCTTCTTAGGGAAGAAAAGGTTGATGGAGGATGGGGAAAAGGATCACAGGAACCACGGGACGAGACTCGTGAACCAGCAGCGGAATTTCGCGTGGAGCAAAGAACCGGCTGAGAATAATGATCAGCATGCGTACGTTGCTGTCTATTCATAACATGGCATAAAGTTGACAACGTCCCCTCATTTGGATACAGGGTAGACATGTATACCATCCAAAGTATGTCCAGGTCCCAACTGGTACTAAACGTGAGTCGTGAATCTGACCCCACTCGAAGCTGGTACAGCACAAGACGTGTCCTTCTTAATCGACCACATTCCTTCCTCCCTCTATCCCTCGGGTGAGCGAACGATTGTGGAATGGGGTATGGGCGGTGTGAGTCTTGGAGGACATTCAACGTGGATTGCGCTTTCTAGAGGTACGTATCCAGCTCATCTAGCAACTTCATCCACGCTCACAATCCCTTAGAACCCCGCCTCACCCTCGGAATCCCCATAATCGGCTGCCCCGACTACATGAAACTAATCTCTCGACGCGCCCAATCCTCAAACATCCCCCTCTCCCCACCTTACTTCCCCACTTCCTTTATGACATACGTAGAAAGGCACGACCCTGCACAACTGGCGTACCGCACAAAAGATGCTTCCAACCCGTTTTTCGGGAAGAAGGTGTTGGTGCTTTCCGGGAAGGATGATAAACTTGTGCCGTGGGTGGCGTCGGCTGAGTTTGTGGATGGTCTTGAAGTTGGAGAGGGGGGTGTTAAGAAGGTTGTGGTGGAGGAGGGGGCAGGGCATGAGTGTACGAGTGGGATGCGGAGGGAGGCTGGGTTATTTGTGAGGGAGTGGTTGAGGTTGTGAGCTGATGTCGTTTCATTTTTGGGACGAGAGTTTTATTGAAGGATGTGTTATGATTCAGAATACGTTTGTAATTATAGTATGATCTTGAAGCAAGCTATAACCTTGAATGGTCACTCTTATCACTTCCCATGCATGATGCCATACTGCATGATGTCCATGTCGAAAGCGCGACTGCCGACGAGTTCAGAAGAGCCTCTAGAAACTTTGCCCACAACGATGAGGGTAGGAAGCGCTCTTCCAGTATCTCTGGAGTTGTATTAGCGAAGGAACACAGCGACATACATCGACACAATAGAGTTCTACCCTAAAACTTTATTGCGTCGATGTACATCTGCAGTGCTGGTAATCACGCGAGCGTTGATGAAATAAATACCGTCTTCGGGTGGCAGAGAGGCACAAAGCCATCCGAATCTTCCAAAACCGTTTTCTCGCCTCCAAAGTGTAAGGAGTAGAATTTTGGATGCCTACTACGCCGTGAAAAGAGTACGCAGAGGCCATGATAATGGTAGACGACAAGGAGAAAACTTAGGAGAGAAAGTGGCGGCTGAGATCGAAAAGGAGATAATAGGAGACACAAAGATCGGGAGCACAGGGGCAATTAGAGTACAGGTGGCGCTCAGGTGGAAATTGGTTCCGCGGGACCGAACGATATGTTAGATGTTTCAAGTTGTCCCCATTAATCATCCTGAGATCCACGCGTGTTCTGTATGCAAATCCGCTGCCGCCTCTCTTAGTAGTCTGGTGATCACAGCATGCTCTGTAGTTGCGGTAGCTGCAAGTCCTAGAAGAGTCGGGCGTTAGACTAGCTGATCGAGACTCCATACGTCATTGAATGATGATCATATCAATCTAATAACACATGGCGTCTCGAGCTGATGCTGCCACTCTCGAAAGACAACCATAAACGCGAGGAAATGGAACTACTCACCTTTCCCCATAACCTGGGTCGCGACAGTCCTTTCTCCTCTTGTCCAGTATGTGTTTTTGTTGTCAATGTATCAAGTTTTCTTCAACCGGGGTGGACTTACTCGCGCTGACGACCTCGGCTTTTTGAGCCTCTTGGCGCCGAGGAAGCAGACTAAATGTGACGATGCCACCCCGGACCCGGCGGGCACTGAGGAGCGAACGGGGTAGAAGCTAGCAACGCCTGCAAAACAGGGCCAACGTTCCACGCCCGAGCCACCACTAGGTCCCGACCTGGATAAGAGCGACCACCGATGCCCTGAAAAGGACGTGGTGTCAGCGGCGGGCTAGAAGATCAAAGTGGAACGTACCCTCTCATCTCGCCCTCGAACTTGCGAGCCGCGAGAGTAGATGAGGACCGGGGTGCCTAGACCATGGTGCGGGCCAGTACAACCGACCAGGGAGGTGCTGAGGAGGTACAGGGCGGAGAGAAGTCGACATCCGAGAGCCTCGGCGAATGTGGCCACCAGACGCGCTCGAAGAGGATCGGATGGACTCAGGTCCTGTCCACTGTGCCATCCACGCCGCGAGCGACGTCCAGGAAGGGCAGCAGCTATGTTACATTGTTCCATTATGATGTCCTTAAATATTGCAGGTTTGCCTTCAACACCTGAGCGGTTGATGACGATTAGTAAGGCAGATAAGAATGTGGCGAGAACAAGGCATACGTTTTGTGTCCTATGGAAGCTCGCCGTCAGACTAGCGCGATTGAGAGAACGTCAGTGGTCTGGCATATACGGAGCACTATGAGCGTGAAGCATACCATGTGGCGTCAAACGGGCAGGACCAATGCTGGTGGCGGAAATGGCAAGGATACCATCATGATTGCATTAGGATGCCATATACTTCCAAGTCGCACGCCACATCTTGCTGGAACATCCGGAATGAGGCAGGAAGACAAGGAGCTGTGAAGATGAGAGAGAAGAAGAAGAAGCGGATGAGAGAGTGAAACGGGACTGAAGATGTTTATATAATACAGCACGGCGGCTGACATTATTTGGTTGTCGACACTCGACGCGTCTAGGACGCGCCAGTCACATGATCCAAAGTAACAGCGTCGAATACGCACGAGCGTCTGGGATTCCAGAAATACATTCGGCCACCTGTGGTTCCTCGTGCCAGTGACATCATTATACAAAGTGGTGAACAAGGGGGCAGTTCTGTGACGTCCCAGAACTTATTTACACCTGCTGTTCATTGGTATTGTCTGAGTGATCAGATTAGTCGCTTCCGATCTAGAGTACGATTCGTCGACGAGGTACTCTTCCATAGAAATCATAACACCCTCCTTTTGCATGCTTCTTAGGTTTTGCGCCCGTGCATTGCTCACCGAAGATATATCTAAATTTGATGCGATGATTCGGCGACAAAGCACAAACGAGGCAAAGGGCTTAGGGTGTGTTTCGAAGAACTGGGAAATGAGGTGGTGAGTCCAGACTGTGTCGATACCCGCACCTGATCGCTGTGAGACTTTCCTAAACCTGAAAATGGCGCAATAGATGTCATTGTGCACGGCCGCAAGGAATTGTTCTAGTGAAATCGTACACTGCTCCTGATATAGAATGACATGCCGAGAGAACCATGGAAAGCACGCTAGTTTCACGGAGGCTTTGAATCATTTGTAGAGCACTCAGCTCACTGGGAGTCTGAAACGCAATATATGAGTCAGCATCAGCATTCAATTCAGCACCGAGTTTATGGACTGCTGCATAAACAAGTCTCACCTAAAAGTCCTTCTTGCTCCCAACCGTGGCATGGCCTAGCGAGAGTCCACACCAATTTTTTCTGGAAAATTCAGTACAATTTTATATGATAGCGTGCACACATAGTCTCCTAACGGACCCTGGTAATTCAGACCAGCAAGGTATGCTCCAATATTGGTGACTATCATGCCTGCGTCTTGAACCGTCTGAGGAAAAAAAGTATGTGACGATGAGAATAGCTTGTTTCGTTTGCGCTAGTACAGCACCATCGACCTGACGGCTGTGAGCATGTACCATGGAAAGACATCGTGGAGACCCACTAATTTTTCTTGCCCTGAACCACAATAAGAGACGAATCATCCCCGTAGGTATCCGACGATAGGAAGAAGTATTTCTGATTAGCGACACGGAAGCCAGAGGCCTGAACTGCAGCTTTATTCGTGAACGCAGCAGCTTCCGTTCTTCTGATGAGATTCATGCAATAAATTACCGTAATCCCTGATGATTTAGCCCATACCTCCAGCTTTTCCCAAGATCGCGGCCTGAGTTACTACGGTGCCGACGAGGTTGTTGTCTACGTATGCTGTGGATGCATAAGACCAAAAGCTTGCTTTGCCATGCAGTCCAGACTTGACTTGCTAGGACATATCACGAAGGGCTGAAATCAAGACAGTAGAAAAGGTCGCGTATTGAAACTGAGAGACAAGAAAGAGCCTGGCGCAAGCACCATGATATCGGCGTTGGAAAGCAGGCCGCAGATATCAAAGTGCGGAGTTCCCTAATAAGCAATTAGACCACCGGACCAATCCGCGACGGATACTTCCATCAAGCGTCCCGGGCCACGGAGGCAGGCTTGCAACAGCTTTTTTCCAGCAATATAGTACTAAGAATTGTTTTAGTAATCATATAAGCACGACGAACAAGAATGAAGGCATGTTGTAATACTAGACCTATATATAAGCCACTAGTGAGTGGCATTGTGGAAGGCAGAGACGCTTCGGTTGTGGGACTTGAAGACAGGTAGTGTGTTGAAAAATACGGAGGGGCATCGCAGTGGGATGCGGCCATTAGCAGTGTGGCGATGGTGAGGAGATTCCGAGGCTGTACCACGAAATTTGGTTGCATCTTGTGCACACAAGGATCTGGGAGTCTGTTGGATGGAGAAGTGGCATTTCAGTAAGCTATATACATACGTTCAAAGGAGTAACGTGGTGATAAGCTGGAGTAGCTGCTAGATACAAAAAATAACGGTATTCGTGGAGGATAGACAGTCAGATTCGAGCGCTGGAAAGCACGGACTGCTCGACTCGATGCCATGCGATACATTCTGGAAGCTGCGAAGACAAGAGTCGGACGCATGTATGCACTGCAGATGTGCATATTGTCGAGGACAGCGGGTATGACAATAGGGTGGGTGCATTATGGTGATGGAGGCGTGGGCACGAACAGCCTTAGATGTCCTGGGCGTCTATTGATATGAGGCAACTGTGAAGCACTATAAAACGCACCATACACCCTCTGCAGCTTAGAGAAAGACATAATCCCTCCAAAGTTTAGCCTCGTCCGTATTCCATACCATCAACATCCAGTAAAATGTCGGAGCTCATTACAATCACCACTCCCCTGCGATGGTTCAAAGGCCACGAAGACCGCATAACTGGAGTCGCAGTTTTCCCTGATAAACGTCTGATGGTTACGGGCTCGTGCGACACAACGCTTCGTCTGTGGGACTTGAACACAGGTGTTGTGTTGAAGAAGATGAAGGGGCATCGCAATCAGGTGTGGAGATTGGCAGTATCACGAGATGGGCAATTGATAGCAAGCGGTGATTACAATGGAGAGGTCATCGTCTGGCACGGAGAAACTGGCAAATCACTCACCAAAATAAAAGCACACTCCAATTATATCGACTCGCTGGATTTTTCTCCCGATGGAACAGTGCTGGCCACTGGTGCATTTCGGGAAAAAATGACGAAACTGTGGAATACCAAAACCTGGCAGCTGCAAGGAGAGACGATCGAGTGTGATTGTGTCCGCTGTGTACGGTATTCACCGTCTGGAGAACTTCTTGCCATCGCAACATATGAGGATATTCAAATTTACAATTCAGGCACGAGGAAGCGCGTCAAATCATTCAAGGCTCACACCCAGGGAAAACTGGACATGGCCAAAACGGTTGAGATCAAGCGGAATATTGTTTAGACATATAATTTATGCTATAATATTGTGTAATCTTCAACGACACGATCGTCTACAATGCATCGCATCGTAAAAACATTACATCGTTGTCGATTTGATGCGCACACTGCGGCCATTGCGTTGTCGATCGCACTAAAGTTTGTCAAGCGCTCGCACGACGCACGTGCACCGCATGCACTTCTGCTATGCAATTCATCGACTACTTCACATCGTGCTGCATCACATACATCGCACAACGGCTAGCTATAGTACGTACTCTTTTGTTTGCGCAGAGTTTGTGACATCATTCACCCCAAAGTTATAATTCATTGGGGCAACCCTATTTTTCCTACTTCTCCTCATAACATCATCTTCCCGCCAAGTCGTCATCCTCCTACTGTCGCCAACTTCCTCAGCAGATTGTATGAATCTTCGATTTAAGTATGTTATCACCGTATGTATCATAACAAAGGTTGTATGCTCAGTAAGTGGAACTCTTCTTTATGTTGTCCAGTCTAATGACTCCGAGACTGTTCCAAGTTCGAACTTGAAGCTGGCACCTGTACCGACAACCACTACCGTCCTCGATACCATATCCTTTCATTCTACTGACACTTCTGTCCACAGTCTTATGATAGGGAGGCTAGAGAACTCGTAAGTACAGCCTTGCTACTCATATTATCAAGTTGCTGAGACTTCTTAGGAAAAAGCAGGGCGCTGAACGAAGAACAGCGAAGTCGTCAATGGTCCCATGTATTAACTTGCCCGGCCTATTCAAGCTATTTGCCCACTGCCGCCTGCTCGCTCGTCTAACTCCTCTACTGTCTACATCATTCCTGCCATCGCCTGCTGGTCGCTTCCAAATTACCTGTGCTCGCCTGTCTCACTCCACATCGCTCCTGTTCTTTTGCTATTGCCTGCCGGTTTCCTCCCGATTATCTCCCTCCTCGCATGTCCGCGTCGCTCCTGTTCTTTTGCTGCCGTCGAGGTTGCCTGCTTTACACTGTCGTGCTAGTTCTATCACCATCATCCTATATCGTGTTTTCTGGTCGTAGGTCGAAGCATTTGTATCAGTAGATTATAGCATATTTCACCCGAATACAACCGATTTTGTCGTACCAGTGGAACTCGATTGAAATATGCTGAAATATGATATCAATATTCTTAACATATCCTACAACATTCGAGAAGATTGCAACAGATGCGAAATATTCTATTTGTCTCCACAGCGAGTCTCCTATAGTGAAATATGGTGCTTCTAAATTCGTCATATTCCGCTTGATCTCAACCGTTTTGGCCATGTCCAGTTTTCCCTGGGGCTCACAAATCATCCAACTTGTCACTCGCATGGACGCCCGATGGCACACGCCTTCTCACAGGCGGCAGTTATCAGGATCCTACTATACGCGAATGGGATACAACAACCTGGAAGCAGGTCGGTGATCCCTGGACGGGCCACACTGGCTACATCCTAGCCATTGCCATTCATCCTGCTGGCACACTCGTTGCATCCGCATCTAGTGACAACCATGTTCGTCTCTGGCAGCTCTCAGATCGACGAACCATTGCCGTCTTCAAGCACTCACTCGACAGTTTATGCGTCACTTTCTCCGTGGACGGCAATCACATCTTCAGTGGAGGTTGCGATAAGATGATCTCAGAGTGGACAGTACCTCAGGGTATACATCCAA